GGATCTGTTTAAAGGTTTATTAGTTTCTGTGGTTATTACTTTGAAAGAAAAGAGATTGATTCTTAAACTGACTTCAAAACTCATAATTGGCAAAGAATTTATTTTAATAAATACTTGGACACTTTCCTCTCCTGCTTTTTGATATAAAAGAGGGTGATCCAGTTCATGCTGATGTTGCAGGAGAAACTTTTTGATTTTAGTTGACATATTTAGAACAAAGGAATTATGTACAATGACATATTATACTGTATTGCTTTGATGAAATAAGGTCCATGTGGTGCAGAATTTCATGTAGTTTAAAGAGAAAAAAAAAAAGAGAGACATAAGCTCTCATTGCCATCTCCAACTAGTAGCTTCCATGATGTGAAGTTCTTTGCTGGGACCAGTTCAAGCGTTGCTACTGTTGAATTTCTGCATGTTACTACAAGATGTAGGATATCACACAGATCTAGACAAGAGTCAGCATCAATTGGAGTACTGGTCCTGAGAAGAATAAAATATCTATCTACCCAAATGTTCTAAGGAGAGAAGAAACTTCCAAGGGACAGAATCTTGCTAAATCTGCCCAGCTGCATTATTTTATGCACTTCTGCCTTACATTTTGTATCAGGCAGGAAGAGGCAAAAAGTTCCAAACACCAGTCTCAGCTAACACTCTTTTAATGGGACTTAAAGCTAAAACAGTAGATACTTCTGTTCTTTCAGTTCCTTATTTTTATCCTCAAATATTGAAAAAATGAGTGGCATTGCCTTTATTGTTATCATTTTTTTTTTAAAAAAATCCCCTTCTTGAATTGCTTCAATAAAAGACTTTCTAACAGGATTTAAAACTGATACCTTCGCATTTTCCTCCTGAACACTTGAATTCATCTGACCTGTAGCATATTAACTAGCTGGTTCCCGTTTCTTGTTTAGTGGCTTGGTATATTGTCAGGTTGTGTTGTATCTGAATTCTTTATTTCTTTTCTCTTTTCCACTCTTTCCCCCTTCCTTACAGCTTTTTCTATTTATTTTTATTCCCATTTTTCTGTTTAAGAATAATGTTAAAAGATCTTTTTTCTTCAGAATGCAGAAGAATACAGAATGCAGAATACAGACTCATGTCAACTAGAAGTAAAATGTTATCCACTCCTCCTTCACTTGTTTTTTTTCCCCTCCTGAGCTTGATCCTATTCTATTTTTCTTTTACATTTTATGGGGTTTTTTTAAAAATAAATTATTTTACACTTGTATTCTTTATTTAATTTGTATTTAGAACCATTAATGTACAACACTGGAAACAAGATTAACTTTTTTTATTTTAAGACTGCTTTACATTAGGGGTCCCCAAGCATCAGCTCACTGAGCCCTCCTTGACACTACAGATTGCTCAGTGACCCCCTAATATGTATTATATAAAATGATTTAATAAATAATACTTTGACTAGTACTACAAACAATAATAATGGTATTAGCCAGAATTAAATCACAAAAATCAAAAGACTTACAACTAGAAGTAAAACAACTGTGGCAAAAGAAAGCAAAGCCAGTACCAATATAGGTAATAGGCACCTTGGGTGCAATCGCAAAACAACCGGCGTGCCACTTGAACAGCATCAGCATTGGCAAAATCACCATAAGTCAATTGCAACAGGCAGCTTTACCTGAAACAGGTTATATCCTGTGACAATATCTTTAACACCATCAAATAACATCTGCCTAGTCCAGATCCTTGGGAAGGACTCAATAGGGGGATAAAAATACCAAATACAGTCTAAACATCTGGCTGATTGTATGACAAATCATAATAATTCGTTATAATAATAGAGACAACTCAAGGCTGCTCTAGCTGATGGTTGAGTCTTACCACTAGCCTTCAGGACCTGTAACTGGTGTGGAGCTCTACAGAGACCCCAAAAGATTAATTGACCCCCAATTGACTTTTCATTATTTATCAATCACCTAGTGACCCCTAGATATTTACTGACCTCCTTTTGCCCTCCAGCCATTTATCAGTAATAAGGACTATCCCTTGGATAGTCCTCGGGGAGTCAATACTGACCACTTTGGGAAACTCTGCTTTATATCATATACTTTATATTATATTTGTCTTATAAAATATTGGCAATTGAGTGATAGATATTTATGGACTATATTCTTAGCTGAATGTAGACTTAATTAGATAATGGCCTTATCCTGACCTATGTCAGCTATAAAACTTAAACTTAAGCACATAGAGAGGTAGTCCATAAGGAGTACCATATTGGAATATGTGGAACTGGGACCACACAACATTCAACAATAAAGTGCTACAGTGTCACTAAATGGCTGTGCAATTTTATCCCTTGTCCCAAAGACACTGGCCTTGTCTCAGGCCACAATTTACGTGGATTTATCGCCCTGTTTTTTGCACCGCAAAACATAAAAATATAGCAAAAAAAAAAATCAGGAGTAGGTGTCATTATATCAACAGCTAGGTTTAATGGTCTGAGCATCACTAGTAAAGAAAAGCCAGAGGATGCAAGTTGCAGCAAGAGTCCAAGGTGGAAGTAAAGGAATGTTCAAGTCAACACAGTGTAATGTCACAGAAGTCTAGTTGGGTTCTAGAAGTACCTGTAACTTAGAACCCCGTCTTCAATTCTAGAGAGAATCAGACTGTTCTTCTAACTTATTCAATGATTGTTCAGTAAGTGGCTTTCAGTAAGGGTAGTACTAATCCCAGGTTGGGTATGAATTCTCTAGACTGACTTTTATCTGCTGCTCTGGGATGGACATGTGGTTTTATGAGACAAACAGAAGGGAAGAGGTGCATAAAGCTAGATTTCTTAATTGTAGTTTTTTCTGCAAGAGAAACAGGGCCTAGGCCTTATATATGCGTTCAATATGCGGGAATGATAAGGGTCTGTCTCCAAATATCTAAAGGAAATTGACTTTAGTATATTGTCCCCCAAATTTCTGAAAGGGGAGGAACATTTGGGGGAGGATGTCTATGGAGATTCTCAGTCATCCAGGTCATGGTTGACCCAAAGGTGCTTCTTCAAAAGGCGACTGGACTTTGTTTTTCCTTGAAGACGTTTTGCTTCTCATCCAAGCAGCTTCTTCAGTTCTGATTTGGGGGAGGAGTTTGCTTTCGTTTTTGGATAAGAAATTGGGGGCAAGCTTCATCTGACAGAACTTTGGATGATGGAGGCTGGGGCAGAATTGAAAGAGTGGGAGAGTTTAGGCAGTTGTATTTTTTTTTAGTTTGGCTTTTCAATGAATTGGTGTAACAGCTGCCTTTGGGAGGGGAGTAAGATGAACAACAACAAAAAAACCCCCTCTGACAAAAATCCCTCCTTATTTTGTGGTATTTAGCCTGAGACTACCTATAATCCTACACCAGCAGTGGTGCAGTTAAAGCTGTGCCATGGGCTGGCCTAAGTCTTGCAGCCTAGGACCCCCAATAACCAGTCAGAGAATGAAGGGAATGAAAATAGCAGCTACCCCATATGGGGCTTTAGTGCTCACTGGTACACTGTATTGTGATTCTCCCCCCCCCCTTTATTTTTAAAACAACTTTTATAGTTAGGGCTTTTTTACTTGTTCAAACTAATACATATTTGTAATTGCTCGTGTTATTATGTATATGTTAAAGGCTACAACAGAAAAGTAATATTCGGTGCAAATGCATCAGGTAGCAGAAACGAATGCCTGTTATTTCAGGAGTCAGGAAATAAGAATGATATAATGACTGAAGTTGTTTAAAATAAGAAACTGCATTTGAACTGACCCTCCTTTCTTCTCTTCCTTCCTTCCTTTCTTTTCCACCTCCCCCCCTCTTTTTTTTTTTTGCTGTAAGGCAGTGTTTTACAACCCAGCAACTTTAAGATTTATGGACTTCAGTTCCCAGAATATTCTAGCATGCTTGTTGGGGGAATTCTGGGAGCTGAAGTTTACACATTTTAAGTTGCTACGGTCGGGAAGGACTGCTCTAAGGTCACAGGAAGCTAGAAGTCGTTGCATGGAGGAACTTTGGGCAGGGGAGAAGAGAAGTGTTAGTTGTGCTGATTGCCACTGAAGTAACATGTGTAGCCAGCTAAAGAGGACTTCTATAAGGCAATTAAGGCTGGTAGTGACCTATCTGCACCTCTAGTCAGAGCTGGAGCTAGGTTTCTTTAGAACAAATGGGATATAAGATTAATATTGGGTAGGAAATCTGAGACCTGTGGATGTACTTGAACAGTCCTTGTAACTATAACATGGCCTAAGGGGAAAAAAATGCTAAGAATTGTAGTTCAGCAGAATATTGAGATGAGAGGGTGTCCTCAAAAGTCAAAGGTATCTCTCTGGCATAGTGGGGAGGGGAATAGATTTCCATCTGTGAACTAGAGAAATAAAATGTTATTCCTTGAGATTTTGGGTTGCCAGAAATCTTTACCATGACTGATATCTTTCATATACCGTGGTTGAACAAGTATGAGTAGAATGCCAATGTTCTTGAATTCTGGCCAAGATTAGATCTGCAAGATCTTAGGAGAATGTCATCCTATAGAATGAGTGATTGTATGGAAAACTGCACATTTTCTACAGCTAACTGCACTTTCCAAAGAAAAATAAATTAAAAGGTGAAAACAGTGAAACTGAAGCATGAGCATAGAGTTTTGCCGACTATAACATTTCAAATATTAACTGCCAGATGTTTTCCTTTGAAGGGAAGCACTGAAGCATCAGGATAAAACATGTACTTTGTTAAGTTGGCCCATAGGTAACAGGTCCTAGCAGTTAGAGAGAAAACAAAGGAAAGATGAATGAATGGATGGATGGATGGATGGATGGAATAAATGGAATGAATGGTCCAGCTGCTTGAATCTCTAACTGCCTGTGAAGGTCCATAATACATTTTTCTTTCCCCATAGGCCACCTTGGAACCTCCTGCCTTCACCTTATCAGCCCTTCACTTGGGATAGTGTTTCTTCTACTCAATGTTTTTTTAGGGATGAAGTATCTTTTGCTTCTGTCTCTCCTCACATGCCTTTCATTTAGTGTTGGGGGAAAGATCTTTGGACGCTGTGAATTGGCCCGAGTGTTGAAGAAATCTGGCTTGGAGGGATATCGTGGATACAGTCTGGCTGATTGTGAGTCTGTCATCCTTTCTTTGCTGTTTTCCCAGAGATATCCTTGAGTACAGCGCTGAACCCATTATTTAGAAATGTAGTTCTATTGGCTAGACTGATACATTTCGACAGTTACATGTGAGTAGAAAAAAGTTGCGGTCCAAACTGTTACAAACTAATCTTCCAAAGAAAAGGACAAAAACCAGACTCTTATTTTATGTCACCCTTCAAATATTGAGATTTATAAAACTTTCAATAAAAAAAAAAAAAAAAATATTGAGATCCAGCTTCCATCAGCTCCAGAACAGCTGGTGACTTACTTATCCCCATGAACAGTTGAACCAAAACCATTATGATAAGCAAACGTCTGTATTCAGAAAACTTGATGAATTCATGTGCCTTTTCCAAATGCCAGCATCAAGCTTTTTCCTAGATCAAATGTTGTGTTAAATTGGAAAGAGAGTACTAAGTTCTCATTTTTCCTTCTCCATACCACAGGGGTCTGCTTAGCCTTCTATGAGAGCCACTTTGACACAGCGCTTGTGGACCATGAAGCTGATGGCAGCACCAGTAATGGTATCTTTCAGATTAACAGTCATATCTGGTGTGAAGATTACAAACACGCTAAACCAAACATCTGCCAAATGCATTGCAGTGGTGAGCTCTAAAGTGGGTTGGCTTCAGTTCTATACAGTGACATTTAATTGGGTTCCTTGCAGCCATTTAAGGAAAAGTCACTATGAGTCAGGATTGCACTTTGCTGTTAGTATTAAGTATAAGAATTACCATTCAGTGGGTAATTCTGCCTTGGTTTATTGGTATAAAGTCATTGAACTATGCATACTGTACTTGTCAGTCGGAATACTGAATGGCTCAAGTATACAACATGAAAAGACCTAAGAGAATTATCTCCCATTTTTAGAAGATGCTTGGATAAAAGCAACACTAGTTAATTATAGAGAACTTACAAGTGAGCTTTACAAATATTTTTTTTTTCTTGCATGCTGGTCCTCTCCGCCAGATAGTTTGGGGGCTGCTGTAAGAGTGAGATGTACTGAACTTCAGACTAGGCTAGAAGGTCTCCTAAATAGTGTCCTAAGCAGGTGGTTGAGGAAGCCCCTCCAGGAATTCTATAGCTCTGAAGGAACAGGAGTCTACAGTTCAGCACCTTACACCATCTTCTTTGTTATTACAGATCTGCTGACAAGTAACATCAATGATGATATCGTCTGTGCCATGCGGATTGCACAAGGACCCAGAGGCCTGGGATCTTGGTAAAATCTTTTGGGGCAGGGGCAATGATCCCTCTTAAGACAGGCAAGCAGATGCACAAAGCATGATCTCTTCTAAGCAGCAATTGGGTTGGCCTGAGCTTTCCTGGGCCAGGAGGCAGTGGGTTTTTTTGGGCAGGGAAGTGCACAATATACTTTACATATAACGCTCCCTAAATTACATTATTTTTAAAATGAGAATATTTTTATTCAACTGATTACATAATTGTACTGTACATAAATTACATCTGCGAATCAAAACAATTTTAAAAAGTAACTTAAATAGGCATGCTTGAATTTAATATTTTTTAAATCAAACTTATCAGTGATTATTTTTATTATTAGCATGACCAATTGATTCTTCTTAGTTTTTGTGGTGTGTTTTTGTCACTTTTCCAGAAAAAAAAAGTTATTAGATCTATTAAGAGGGATAGATATAGACATATCCATCTTAATAGGTATAAAGAGTCAAGGTTAACTTTGAATCCAAGTTTGCCAATTTTCATCTTTTCCAGTCCAACAAATTTAAACCTGTGCTTTGGAAAAAAAATGGACTTTTTCATTATATGCATTTTCATTTCTGATAAGTCTTTCTCATCGGCAGAAATTTGATTAGGAGTACGACTCATAGATGACAATTTCAGAATCTTTGCATACTTACACATCAGATTCTGATTTTCTTCATTCCCAAAAATGTAATCTTGCTCTTGTAATGTTGGTATTTTAAATGCAACACACTCTTTCAGTTCGCCATCCAGATGGTTACGTACTTACTCAGAAATCACAGAACAGTATCACTACTCCAATGTTAGTAATAATGTTTTCACTTTGGGGCTGACTTCCTATTCTGGCCTTAGCAAACTCCAAAGCCTCAGCTGGTGTAATGCACAATATACAGTATTTCTGCCAATTCAGCCAAAACATCATTTTCAATTGCAGTAGCAATGTAATTTCATGGGTTCTGTAGTAATTGGCTATTCCTTTCTCTATCTCCTTTGAGCAATACTGCACTAAGTTTATAGACTAGTTCTTTGATTGGAAAATATATCATTTAATGGTCTTCATGAGACCACCTCATATTCTGCAATTTGGACCATTTCCTCAAATGGCAATTTCTTTACTGATGTGATATATTTTCCAATCAAAGAACTAGTCTATAAACTTTTAGTGCAGTATTCCCATGCATCTTTGTTGCCTTGAACTGACCAATGAGCTACGCAATGTTGTTCTGTGAGATGTGGAATTTCCTTCTTGTGACACCTGTGTATTTTCCCTATATGATTCTTGTACCATGTGAGGTGAATGTTACCATCTTTTGCAGATTCAGTTGGTTATCAGTATAGAATTTTGTTTAGAGGGTCAGTGTGGTTAAGGCATCAGGATAACTCTTCATATTAGAAGAGCAAAACTTGATATATAAAATCCACACTTTACTAATTGGAACCTTAGTCCTTTCACCTACCATTAATGTGTGATAAGAGACATTCAATATCATTCATCACATTTTGGAAAACAACATGGTTAGTATACTTAACAAATTCCAAAGTATAACTTTTGCTGGCCCATCTTTTTGGAAGTGTAGTGTAATTTGCCATGTGATCATGAGTGTTTTGAAGAAAGCACTAAAGCATTCATGGAAATGGCAAGCCAGACAGTCAATGAATATTTTTCACTTGTACCCTTGACTTTGTCTGAATTCTCATTTAGACTTTTTATTAGTATTTTATTTCCTTGATAAATGTTTGATCCATCATCTTGTTAAATTCTTCATATCTTATTGCAATTTCTCCTTAGGGAGTCAATTTTCATAAATTCCATAATTTTTGATCAGCAAAATCACAACTAACTTTGGCTTCTGCATGTGACAGTCATACTATACCACTATCTTCAGTGTAAGAAAATGTTTTTCTTAGCCTATGTGCTACAGGCTCCCTTAGCACTTAGTTACAGTATTAATTAATAATTAATTTAGTCATGATCATTTAAAAAAATCCTGTGGTTTTTATGTCCATTGTCATTATCTTGTACAAATCTATGAGTTTTAACTTCTTGGTGGGATGAAAAAAAATCACATTGTTGCAACATTTTCTTCACCCTGGCTTCTAGATGTGAACCTCTCCTTCCTTTCTCTCTCCTTAACTTTCCCCTTTGCTTTGGTTCCCCCCATCCCCCCCCGCCCCCAGTGATCCATCCCTTCTTCAGCCTGGAGCCTGTCTCCTGAATGAGTGAAGCTTCTCCTTGCCTTCCTTCTCTCTCTCCCAGGATTTTCTCTCCCCTTTTGCTTACCAATTTGCAAAGACATACAGTACTTCATTAATGCATTATCTTTGACAGTGAGTGGGAAAATGAATCTTATGGGTGGACGTGCACTACCGACATTGAGCATGGACATCATGATTTTTGTTGTTTTTAAGAAAAGACATCAATGGCCTTGGAAATTGTTTTAGAGAGGATTGAAATTGGGGGGGGGGACCCAAACCCCAAATAGGAGTATATAACCCATTGGCTATGTCTTATATATAGAGGACTTTTTTTTTTTTTAAGAAAGCACTGTTCTGATATCCAATATTTGTTGCTAATTCCATCTTCTCCAACTCAGTAACTTTCTAATTGTCTGGATTTGGGACTCAAAATCAAACACATAAGGAGGATAATCAGTTGGAGAAGGTTATTTTGAACATTAATGAATGAAGCTTAGTTTTCTGGATAGTAACCAAGGAATAAGTGAAAATACCAAAAACAGTAGAAAGAAAATGAATTGTATATATGCTATACTAAAATGACATACAGTAACTTGAAGAAGAGGGCAACTATTTTTTTTTATAAAGGGTCTACACGTATCAGAATGAAGCCCTTTTCTTAACTAAATACATCTCTGAATAATAGATAATGGAATTTCATACTAATGAAAACAATAATTACTGAAATCACTGGGTTTTTTTTCTGCTGTCTTTTAAAGTTATCTCAAACCTAAATTAATGTTCCATACATTTGATTAACGTTTATTCTCAGTCCTAGTAACAGCACTAAATACTTCTTCTACAAAATATCTATAAATTGCTTACCTGTAGAGTTATCATCTGCTATCCGAGCTTGGGAGAGGGAGCAATAAAATTGTAGAATTTTTCCCTGTCTCTTGTTTGCCATCTAGTGGTCTTATGGATTTTTTTTGCAGGTTAGATATGGTAGCCCCAAACTATTGTTTTAAGAACACCAATAGAGTAATTGATGCAGAGAATGTCCTTCACTTTCTCTGCAATATTTGAACATAACTTGATGCAACGATTTCACATTTCATAACACTTGCAAAAATGTCATAGATGATATTGTCAACTTATAAAAACCATCTTCTCCCATTCTATTTGCAAAGCTTGGGGATTTACTTTGTTTTTATTAATTGCTAATCACTGTACTATACTATATTGTACTGTTTGTATGCTGTATAGCCATACAGTGGCTACCATATGTGTTGCCATCTAGTGGCTATTCCAAAGTATGGAGTCATCAAATTTGCATTTCAGCACCTGAATTTGACAATGTTTTGACTATTGTTAATATTTTCCATAGGCCAGTGGTTCTCAACCTTTTCTTTACCACAGACTCCCTCTAGATATCTTTTGCAGACCAGGGCCACAGACCACCAAGACTTAACTCAAGATTTAAATCATAACATTTCTTCAAGCCTTTGAGGACCCCCTGTGATGACATCACACACCCCCAGGGGTCCACGGACCACAGGTTAAGAACCACTGCCACAGGCTATTTAACTATTTTATTTTATACCTCCAAAGAAATTTGAATAGTAAGCATGTTCCCTTCCTACTGTATCCTTCCTGACAATCTAGGACAGGGGTAGGCAACCTTGGCTCTTTTATATCTGTGGACTTCAACTCCCAGAATTCCTAAGCCAGCTATGCTGAGAAATGGAGGTTTCCATGCTGAGGCATGATGGCTCAGGAATTCTGGGAGTTGAAGTCCACAAGTCATAAGAGCTAAGGTTACCTACCTGTGATCTAGGATAACATTTCTTCTAGTTCCACACAGGCTTCTTTTCTTCCATTCCCAACCAAGAAAAACTCATATCTAGCATTCCAGTACTGCACTTCTTGTTAAAACATATTGGTAGACATATATTGTGATCCAATGTCTTTACCCATTAGTGGTAACAATCTATACTCTTTCCATGTGTTATTTGCTTATGACTTTGCTAATAAGATTCTCTCTCCCCTCCCTCCTCTGCTCTCAGGATGGGTTGGAGAGAAAATTGTGACGGTCTACAATTGTCTGTCTGGTTGAAAGGATGCAAACTATGAGGAGAAAGACTGAGAAAAAAGAAGGTACTTAAGGCCATGAAAATGCTTTAAGAGCCCTGGGACTGTTGCCTTCCTGAAGCTAAGCAACTCTACTGGATATATTTTTAGAAAAACTCTGGATTGTCCCTTACAAGAGGGAGCATGTAGCTTGGACTTTGATTTGAGAAACTCATCTTGTGGTATAAAAAAGCTTATTTAAACAATAGGATTGACCTCTATTAAAAAACTCACATAAGTTTGGACTGGGATGTATGTTCCAGTTTTCAATTCATGAAAGATCAAAATTGATAAAACTTTAAAAACATGTTAATGACTTTTTCTCAAGACATGCATTATAAATTTCTAGCAATTTAATAAGCACGCAATAACAGGGACTGAGACCATTGTTCTGATGCACTTAGCATTCAATGAAGGTGAAGCAGTGAGACTTAGGATGAGCCAGTAATAAGCTGAGCATTATTTCTTTGAAACAAGTTATAGTTCCATGCATGAACATGTATAATCCCATCTAGTGTTCAAACTAGAAAGCTTGAAAAACTTTCTGCTTGAATAGTCTTTTATCTAATTCAGAATTTTGCTTCCAAGGCCACAGCTTTGCATTGGCGTTTAGAAGTTCATTTGTTAGAAGTTCATTTGAACTAGTATTATGGTTCTAATTTAATCAGAAACCACCCCAATTAATTTGCCTTATCCCTAGATATGACTAAGGCAGTGACAAGTAGCAAATCTGAAGCCTGCCATATGCATTTATAATTTGGGTTGTTGGGAATACAGTGAAGGGACACATCCCATTGCTCAGAATTTGATCACAACCTATTTTAGATGTCTTTTTGTTATTAAATAAATTTTAGTAGCTAGAACTTAAGAGGGTTACCCAAAGAAACCCATACATTGACATGAAAATCATTGCACATGAATAGCCAATCTCAGTTTAAAAAGAAGTTGCTTAGTGAGCTAAACATTAGAAATATGAATGGATATGAACATTTTCCCAGTGGCACTTATGGAAAAGCCATTATGGAATAAGCTTTTGTAAAAAGACCTTTAAAATAAGAATCCCTTCACATTCACCCCCTTGGTATCCATGAGCATTTAAGAATCACACAAGACAAGTTTATTGCAATATATTGCAATTTTTATTTACTTGCAACATTTATTGAAAATTTGACTCTCAGGATACAGTTTAACATTTTACATGCAATAGAATACATGCTATACAAGCTATATAAGTACATGCTATATAAGTACATGCTATATATAAGTACACAGAAAAATATTTTCTCCATTTGGAAAGTCCTGATTTGGGAGCTACCCAAACAATGTAGCACTTACAGAGTTGCTTTAACATGAAAGTGCTAAAGTTTGAGCTGCACCCAGCCAGAAGATTATGCTATGCCGAGAGCTGTCTGAGCTACCTAGAAACCACTTCATCACGGAGCACTTATGAGCACATACAGAACAGAAGAACTCCTGGTGAAGTTGCCTCCAGGAACTTATGAACATCTCACACAAGATGGGACACCAGAAAGACATTCCAAGCAGTCCAATTTGGTGTGAATCTGAGCCAGAGCCTCACCCAAACAATGAAGCACTTTCTAGATTAGAAAAAGAAAGTGCCCATATCTGGGCAAGGATCAGTCAGCGAGATGGATCTTGGCTTAAGAGTTCTGCAGACAAAAAAGAAAAATATTATTTAGACAACATAAAGACTAAATGCACATCCATTCCTTAAGGAAAGGCAGAAAAGATGCAGTGCTTGTAGTTCTGCCAGGCCCAAATCCCACACAAACAATATAGCACTTAATTGAATTTATTACTACAAGAAAGTGCCACTGTCTGCGTGGGCTTCAGGAGGCCTTTTAGTTAACATTTGCACCCCTGTATTCCGCTCCTGAAAAAAAATCTTAAACGAAATAAAACGATTTAAAACCGTCCCGGGCGCGGCGTTTCTTCGCAGGCCGCCTATTTGGGAGACTCCTGCAACTGACCTCAGTCAACCCAAAGTTTGCTTGTGAGCAAACACGATCCTACCTATCATCGGTTCAGAAGGATCGCCTACATGGGACGGCTGAAAATTAAAAAAACACGTGCGAATCCGCCGCTGCTAAATACGGACGAGGCAAAGTACGCGGGACTCGGCCGTCTTTATAAAAAGTTGCGTAAGGCAGCCACTCCCGTTTTCTGCCACTAGGGGCGATATACCGAAACGAGCCGTACTACTTAGTGCTGTAATGGCCAATGGACGGCGGATGGTGCAAGGTACCTGGATTAGACGAGGGGCACCCATTAAAAAGGCCTTTTCCTGCTATACACTCACACCCCAGCGCGCAATGGACACAACGTGACCAAGACGACGCCAATACAAGGAAGCACTTTCTTTTGAGATTACAAGGCAGTGCAACTATATTGGTGGCGTCGAGGCAGCGGAAAAAGGTCTTCCAATGTGCAGGAACACACCGCCCCCTCATCTGTTTGAAATGCCGGTATTTCAGATCTGCAGGTTGAGTTGGATGCCCGGTTGCCCAAAAACCTTTCCACCCACGTAGTACCGATGAAAAAGACACTTCCTCGTCCCACAAAGACCTTAAAGCTTATCCTTTGACCACTCCAACCACGTGGTCCTCAACTCAGTTTCAGTTTTCCACTTCCTCAGATTTCCGCCCCCCCCCCTTTCCCGGATTGCCGGCATTATCACCTTTCGCATTCCTCCTGCCGTCGAGAAAGCCACCATTTGCAGGAATTGGAGGTTTGCAGATTAGCCTTGTCCAACAGTCAAGCGCGGGCAGCAGCAACATTGGAGGTCTTGAGGAAAGAGTTGCCGGGGGTAAATAAATAATAAAAAGAAATGTCATCTCTACAGGCCCGATTCTCCACCCATTCACCAAAAACCCACACACACCCTCTGCAGGGTACCAATTTCCGCTTCCAGCTTGCCTTCACTCCACCCGGTCCCATAAATAGTTTTGGAAGGTCAAAAGATAGGTAAGCTAGAAAGATCTCACGTGCTCAGGAGATCGGAGATAAGAAGCCCAGCAGCAACTCTCCTTGCAACCCTACCGCCCAAACTCTTTTAAAGAATTTCGGGAATTTAAATTTCCCGCGTGTCTCTCCCCCCACCCCATTCAGTCTACCCTTTCCAATTGGAAGTCTTCCAAAGCAGCGCCCCCCAGAGTCCGCTTCTCTGCTCATGCTTACCAGCCGCAGCAAAACCAGCAATGATCTCCCTCCTCTGGGATCCTGTGCTGTCCACCCAGTGTGCTACGCTTTATAAAGCTTAGGACTTCTGGGGTGCCATTGGCTCGTGACTTCCCACCATTGGCTTTCCTCCTCCAATCAAGTTCAAGAGCTGTGATCCCTTCTCCACCCACATTTTCCCCTCCCCTGACCAAACCCTTGTCTGATCAAGGAGTGGATTAGGGGAAGGAGGTAAAACAATCAAAGAGTTGATGGAGGGCAGATAGCTCAATCCATGGCTGGAGACAATGGGTCAAGCCACCCCCCCAACCCATCCAGGAAGGTGGATGATACAGGAAGCCTCAGGCATGAATATTCCCACCCATTCCATTCCAATGGGCCAGTCTTTCTTTATCCTGATGGTTGAGGAATGCTTTTGTTTTACAAATATTCAGGTGATCAAGCCAAATCTCATGATTTTGTAGCACTTGAAAAGGCCAAGCTAAAGTATTGGGGGCAAAGTTAAGGGGGAATTCAACCTTTGGGTGTTATCCATGACCTTTAAGACATTTTAACCTGTGGCCAAAAGGCTTGTCATTGCCCAGCTGCAACTGATGCCTATGTGCATGTTTATTTTTGCAATATAAAAGTGTATTCTTCCCAGATTGGTTTTACAAATATTCCATAAAAAAATTTCAACAGGCCAAAGAATGTAGAAATTTAGCTCAAATAACAACACTGTATGTATGAATGGCCATGCTTATTTCATTTATCTTTAATATATTCTACAGCATTCTTCTGATGTAGACTTTTAGCCATAAAAACTGAGGCTCAGATAATTTATATCAGTTCTCCAGATGCCATAGCAAACTGACATAAGTTCTTGTCTAGAGGACAGTTGTACAGAATTCATGTGAAATATTCTATCCTTGAATAAATGGGTTTTTCCCTTGTTCCTAGGAATATACATTGATTATGGCAGTATTAATCAAGGAATATTAAACAAATTAAAATTTCTTCCAGTTGTGATCACTAATTATAGAAATTACAAAACTCTTCTGTAGCCAGGGCCTTCATTTTGTAATGAGACTTTTTTTGGCTATAGAAATTTATCCAAAGAGCATTTTTGCTATTTCTTCATCTGCAAAAATAAAAAATATAAAAAATACAGATTTTCTCACCCCTAATTCTTTCTTTCTACTTTAGTTCCATTGTTTGCTTTCTGTGCAGTCTGTTGATAGCATACCCTCAAACCTTTGCTTCTCTCAAAATATTTTTTTGAGAGTCTGCCATTTTTTAAAAACAATTGATATAATGTTATGCCCTATTTTGAATGAAATGGGACTGATCAATAGTACTGAAGTGTAGGGGAAAAAAGAAGACTACTTGTTTTTGCCACTGCTTAAAAAGCTTGTTCCAGAAAATAGGTATATCATCACTGAGAATTCTGGAGACTGTTAAGTTTTTTAAATTTCTAGCAATTTTTATTGGTCTACAGTCTCCCATATGTGTTGAATTTTAACTCTCAGTGTTTCCTAGTCAAACTCAACATATCTGACCAACGCAAAGTTGGAAAATCCTATTTTATGGATTCAGTTGTTTACTGTGGTTTCTACGGGGCATAGAAGGTGTCATTTCTCTTTATTCTATGAGCCCCTGGAGGCCTTATCATATCGTATGGGATGAGGGATTTATGTATTTATTTATTTTATTTTATATCCCACTTTTATTATTTTTATAAAATTGCTCAAGGCAATTTGAAATATCCAACACACTTTTTTTCCTATTTTTCCCCCAACCCCAGCCCTTCCTTGTACTATGGCAGTGAACTTGTGACTTAAAAGTCTTGGAACTAGAGGTTCCAGCATTGGGTCTTGTAGTTCCAATGCATCCAAGAATCATTCTGCTGCAATGCTTTTCAACTTTGGCAACTGTACAATGTGTGGATTTCAACTCCCAGAATGCCCCAGCTAGCTTAAGTTTGCCAAGGTTGACAAAGTCCTGGTCTGCTGTAGGAAGCTCAGTGTCAGCATGAAATTCTGTTGCTCTTTGAGGCAGTGT